CAACCGATTCCGTAGCACTTTACAATTACAAGAAAACTTACAGGAACGATAGGTTGAAGAGGACCCTGATCAAACGAGCTTACAGTCTATAGGAGATGGGGTATAACACGCAGAACAGGAAATAGCAATCAAATAAGGTGGAAGTGAAGCAGAGCTGGAGGAGAGAGTAAAGTGCTGTCCTTTAGGAGAGCGCAAGAGCCAGGTATGTGAGGTAGAGGTTACTCTGGAAGGCCATAAGCTTTCCTAAAGAGATGGGTTTTAAGGCACTTCTTAAACAATTGAAGACTTGGTGAGAGTCTGAAGGCGGTAGGCAGGCAGGCAATTTCATAGGAAGGGGAAAAGGAGGATCAGTATTCGGAGGAGGAAAGACCAGAAGCTCTGTTTTAGAGAGATTTAATTTCAGAAAGCGGGAGGACATCCAGTCAGTGATGGAAGAAAGACAAGCAGTGACACGTTGCAGGATGGCAGGGGAGCGGTCCAGGGAGGATATATCTGGGTGTCATCAGCGTACAGGTGGTAGTGGAATCCAAATGAGGTTATAAGTTTACCAAGAGAGGCAGTATAAAGAAAAAAAATAAAAGGACCGAGCCTTGGGGGACTCCTGCAGAGACAGGATGAGGGGAGGAGGTATCATTAGAAAAGGAGACACTGAATGAGCGTTGGGAGAAATATAAGGAAAACAAGAGGACAGAGTCACAGAGACCAAGTGATTGAAAAGTTTGAAGAAGGAGAGCATGATCAACGGTGTCAAAGGCAGCAGAGAGGTCAAGAAGAATTAGTATGGAGTAGTGGCTTTTGGATTTACGAACACAAGACAAGTGAATTTCAGGCGCTAGTAATCAATGTCTTAAACAATCAATTCTAGTTCCAAGGAATTATACAGAGAAAGAAGCTGCACCAAAATCTGTGTAAAGCTCCAAATAACACTTAATTGATATAAAACATAAAGTTAAGGGGCACTGTGTCTTTAAGACAAGGTTTGTAAAGTGCCAGAAGTGCAAATGTACGATAAAGTATAAAGTGCACTTAGTGTATACAGTGATAATGTAAAAACATTTTTACTTTTGGATTTAGCTGCGATTAGGTCCTTAGTAATAGACATGTGCAATTCGGTTCGGTCTGAATTGAAATTCGGATGAATTACTGACATTCGGCTGCTTCTGAAAAGTGGCAAAACGGGTAGGGTTAGGGTACCTCTACTCCTAACCATAACCCTACTCCCAACTCTAACCCTACTCCTAACCTTAACCCAACCCTGACCTTAACCCTACTCCTAAACTTACCCTACTCGTAACCCTAAACCTACTCCTAACCCAACACTTACCCTAAGTGCCAAAGTCCCGAATTTTGTAAGTGCCGAACCGAACCTAGTGTCGAAGTCCCGAATTTTGGAAGTGCCGAACCAAATTGCTGAACCAAATTTTTTGCCCATGCACATCTCTACTTAGTAACTTTGATAAGAGCAGTCTCAGTAGAGTGGAGAGGGCAGAAGCCAGACTGAAGAGGGTCAAGGAGAGAGTTCGAATTGAGGAAGTGGGACATACGGGTAAAGACAAGTCTTTCCAGAAGCTTTGAGGAAAAAGGGAGCAGGGATATGGGACGATAGTTAAAGGGGGAGGACGGGTCAAGAGATGTTTTTTTCGGGATAGGTACTACAGTGGCATGTTTAAGGTCAGCAGGGACAATGCCAGAAGAGAAAGAGAGCAGTTGAAGATGTGTGTTAATGACTATAACATACATGTATTGGCATTTGCTTTATCTTCAGAGCTTCAACACAGAGACAGACTTTTGATAAAGTATAGCCATTAACTGCACTGGTTTATCCAGATCCAACACTGGACATATACAACTTACCTAGATTCTCACTGATAACCTCCTTAATGTGACCATTTGATATAAGAAAGCCTTATTGGAAGGATTGGGGACTACAGAAAATCTATACCCCCATACTTATACTAGTCCGTAATCTAAACGAGTGAAGCCTTTACAGGAGGTGGAAACCCAAAACTAAATAGCCGGTAAATAGGCAGATAAGCTGCTGCAGGGGTACACCCAGGTAGTCCTCTTGCAGAGGTTCTGTTTAGTGGGTCTTCGAGAAGAAGAGCCTGAACTCTGACAGAGTCTTCAACTATATCGGTCTGGTGAGCATTAAAGGACCACCAGACCACTTCAGCTTAATGAAGTGGTCTGGGTGCCAGGTCCAGCTAGGGTTAACCCTTTTTAAAAATTTTTTATAAACATAGCAGTTTCAGAGAAACTGCTATGTTTATAAATGGGTTAATCCAGCCTCTAGTGCAGTGATGGCGAACCTATGGCACACGTGCCACAGGTGGCACGCGGGGCCCTTTCTGTGGGCACGCGGCCACAGGTTTGCCATCACTGCAGAGTAGGCACCTGCCTGCCCGAAACGGCAGGCGCCTACTCTGCTTCCGGGTCGGGAGGCAGGGGGAGGGCTCTGTGATGCAGCTCCCCTGTCCTCCCGCGCGATGCTGTGTGGAGCGTTGCCGCGCGTTACCATGGCAACGCTCCACACAGCATTGCGCAGGAGGACAGGGGAGCTGCTTCCTGGAGCCCTCCCCCTGCAGTGCTTACCATCACCGGACCACCAGGGATGGCTGTGTCCCCCCCCCCACTTCATTAAAGGTAAGAAGGAGGGGAGGGGGTATACTGACACACAGCACCCTTACCCCCCCAGAAGTAGCCCTACCCCCCAGCACCCCTACCCTCCCCAGCAGTAGCCCCTACCCTCCCCAGCAGTAGCCCCTACCCTGCCCAGCAGTAGCCCCTACCCTGCCCAGCAGTAGCCCCTACCCC